ATGTAGATATACATATATATATATGTATAATATATATGTTCGTGTAAATTATACTTTTAAAGCTAGGTACATAGATGTTTGTGCAGTAAAATTCGAAACACTTTCCCTTGACTTTTTGTCCTCTTGTAATTCCAAATATTCGGACGTTGGCTGTAAAAAGCCTTATGTACCGCAACCACAATTAGAATATGTGGAAGGTATATAAATGTAAAAGCCAAAAAACATTTAGAATTACGAAACGAATCGAAAATATATTGTTGGTCATTGTTTAATATCTATGTTCATATCTGTTTCAAGGCACATTTGAAATATAATCAGTATACTCATTTCCATGTTACAGAGGAATTTACTAACATTAGTTGTTCCTATCATTTCACTAATGGTCTGTCTGGAGTTAGACGTTCAATGAAATTAAAAAAGTGAGAAAATAAAGAGAGAAAATCAATAGAAAAATATAAAATATTAAAAACTCCTTTAGCCAAAATCACAGACAAGTCCCTTACTTTCTCAAACAGAGCACAGAATCGCCTTTTTATCTTTCCTCATTTTCTTAACTCTAAAAAATAATAGTTATATAAATATTATAAATATACATTCATACATATATACGTAGTCTTATCAAATTATATATACATACACGTATATGTACGCTTTCTGTTACCCGAACTTTCTCTAACAATAAAAATTTACATTTCTTCTATTAATCATTATTTACGTATATTTACACGTACGCAAGTACAGCGTATAAACAATGGTCGTTCCGTATGTGTATATGTGTACCTGTGTAGTATACACGTATACTGCGTATGTATATATCTTTTTTTCTTTATATGTATATTTTGATTATATCCTTTTTTGATATTCAGATCATGAAGGATACTTTTTCATTAATACTGCACCTATTTCTATGTACATAAAATGTTTACAGAACATAATGAAATATAGATAGAACGTATGCCGATGATAATAATAAAAAAAGTAACAAATGACTTTGCAATTATCGTTACTACACATAGATATGATAAAAATGCCCTGATCATCGGCTTTGTCAAAGTTCACGGCTTGGTCACCGTCGTTACTGTCTTCATGATCGTAATCGTAAGGTTTCATGTTAGAAAAATTAGTTTGCAAGATCAAGTTCTTGCTCTTTTCTAGCATCGTTCGCTACATTCGCTACCATACTCTCTCTCTCTCTCTCTCTCTCTCTCTCTCTCTCTCTCTCTCTCTCTCTCTGCATGCACCTCTCCTATCCATCGCTAGTCAGGTCCTAAGTGACTATAATACATTCTTTGTCGGAAGTTGCACAATTTCCCAATGAATATCAATATACGGGCATTTTTGTTTCATGTTAGATAAAGTGGCTATCATCTGCACTGCAGGTATTCGTTAACAAGTATAGAATGCTCAACGTAACATTTGAATAATTACACGCAACGCAAAGTAAAAACTAGAATCTTTCCTCAGTATGTAATAGTAACAAGATTATTCGTTAACAAACTATACAAAAGAACTATATTTCATTAAACCATGTCTGCGAGACATTTATGCAACGTAAAAAGAAACATTCTGTTTAGTGACGAAAATTCATTATAGCAGTCACAATTATTAATGTTCGTATCAACAGCGATTAACGACATAGATATTAGTAATAATTATAATAACGTAGTACATTTTTTGATAAATTGGAAACGTTATTATTTTTTTTTTTTTTTTCATTTTTTATCTTAAACAGCAATCAAAGCATTTTTCATAATTCAGCTAATAGAAAATTGCGTTAAGAAATAAAGAAATATAATTTTGGTTTACTTAATATGAGACGCGTGCGACTGCTAAATATCGAAAAATATATCTCTTATACATTATTTTTGGTAAGTTTTGTTCTGTTGGCGGCAACCGTTGCAAGACATGCCAGTGCTTCTAAATCCGGTGACGCACACCACGCTAGTAATATCGAAACATTTAATGAAAGTTATAATAATGAAATACTAATGATAATACACTAACACATTCAGAACAGCAATAATGTCTGAATATAATTAAAATTGTCATTCGAACGTATCAGTAATCATGCTCTACTTACGTTTGTTAGATTCCTCCATTCCAGTTTGTTTTGCATCATTCGTTGCTGCCGCATTGCGGGTGATGCTCTGTTTTCGTGCTTTTCGTTTTTGGCTTCCAACTAAAAGTTTCTCAGCATCTTCGGGATTTTCCGCTTGAGGTGTTATTCGATTGTATTGACTATTCACTTGACCATTCGCATTGAGATTGCACTGATGCTTTTTATTATTCGAACCTGAAGTTATTTTCTGTAACATTTTTTTCTTTTTCGTACGTTGTTGTTTCTTCTTTTCCTGAAATTCTTCTAAACTTAAGGATGGTAACGCTTCAATTTTCTTTTCTAAATTAAAATCCCTACACAACAAAATGAAAATAATATATTTTCACCGTATATACAATATCATATCACGTACATAGTCAATCATGCAATTGTCATAAGATATCACACTTACTCAGCTCGAAACCTTTTTCTCGCAGTCCAAGGTCCAAAATCCGTTTGCCCTTCTGCACCCTCGGTTTCTGTCTCCTCCGGTTTTGATGCCTCTATATTTCCTTCGGCACTACGGCATATGACGTTTACATTAATCTTCGCATCTTTTCATGTATACAGATAAAACATGATTCATGGGTGAAAGATTTACCCTTCAACAAGATGTTCCAATTCACCACGAGAACTATTTCCACCTTCGCTACTTAAGGAATCTGTTTTTTCACTGACGTTCGAAGAAATAGAATTCCTTCTTTCATTTGCCTGACCATCAGTGCTAAAAAGAAAGCATTGATTAGAATATTTTATAAAATTTTTTTTATATAATCACAGTACATAATAAAATATTGCAATTATTTACCTACGACTTCCAGTTTGCCTTTTCCGTTTAGGTTGCTGTCCTGATGCTCCAATATTTTTCATTTGTTCAGCCAGGAACTTTTGATAACGTAGACCTTTGCACGTCCGCTCACTTCTAAAGTTATTTTCTTCTGAAGGCATATTTGCGGTTAAAAAATTATTTAGTTCTGTTTTATCGTCTTCGGCATCCTAAATATAATTGTCAACATTAGTAACATCTGACAGAAATTGAATAGAAACAATTTAATTAGAATACTCCTTACATATTGATCTACATTATTGTTTGATTCAGTTTTAATTCTCTTTTTTACATCAAATAAATCAGCTTTACAATCTCTCTTGTGTTCAGGCGAATAAGATACATCTAAATATCTTTTCTTAGGAGGTTTTGGAACTTCACAATCATTTTCCATCACAGAAACATCGACAGTCTCTTGTTCATCCGCAGTCTGCGCTTTTTGAGGAGTAAATAAAGAACTGAGGCCACCAATTTGGGATTCGTCAGCTAGTTTGCCTGGTTGAATTGATTGTCCATCTCGCTTGTCGCATTTCGTGTAATCGGAAGACTTGTTCTCAGTTTTTACATTTTCTATCAGTTGCTCATTAGCATTTGTTTCTGCCTTTTTGTTTGTAGGCCTAGTGTTCAAAGTACGTAGAGGAGGCGCTGGTAATTTGTACCATTTAAAATCAGGATTTGCATTTAAGAATGCATCTTTGTACTGCAAAGCAATAAAAGTGGAATTAATTCTTTAAACTTAATTATCAAGATGCGTACACATGGACTAAGTTAGAAAATGTTGTCTCTCAAGAAACATTTCATACAAGGCTACAAATGATGAGTTTGTAGAATTCACAACAGTCTATATCAAATTACATCAACATGTAATTACTAGCATGACATTTAACTTCCATATTATGCATGCAAATTACCTCCTGTGCTAGATTTGTGTATGAACGTTTTTGATCTGGATGAAGGGTGGCCCACCATTCTCCAAGTACCCTGGTTACAGCTCGATTTTCTAAATGTGGGAAACCAGACCGCACTGAACCACGATGTCTTTTGCAGAAAATTAAAAAGGCGTTCATTGGTCTTCTTGCATGGTGGGCTGGTTCTCTTAGTTCACGTGGTTCCTAATTATTAATCAGAACTTATGAATACAACAGATATTACTACATATTCATCATATTTATACATTTGTATCATACATATTCAATTTATATTATTATATAAATAGAATCGTTTGAAACCAAAATGTAATGCCAAATACATTTTTGCTTAATATCTTCAATCGTGTGTAATATTAATCGTTCACAGGAATTTACTAGGATTATAAGAAATCAAAACATTTTTAAATAAAAATTGTATAATAAGAAACTTCAATAAATATAAAAAGATGACGCTTGTCTTTGGCGATCTATACATCACAACAATATTCAGTCATATTACAGCACGTCTGAAGCCATAAAATCACATACCTTGACAGTTCTAAGGTCACATATGCTTACCTGTATATTCATAGTTAATAGCAGTATAATAAAACCTATTACGTATATCAGAAATAACGTAAAAAATAGATATGAGGAAACTGTCGATAATTTCTTAAGAACTGATTAACAAAATTTTTATCGCAAATGCTTTGTACACTTTCTTGATAGAAAATTAGTTTAAAGATTATCACGTCTAAGTAAGTAATACATCATTTTTTAATTGGATAAAAGATGAGCATAATGACGTAGTAAAAAATACATTATGCTTCTACACAAAATATCCTGATAAAAAGGATCGATGATCAATCTGTCAATAAATTCCGCAATTAATAATTCTAGGTGATTCGAAGATTACACGTAAGTACTTGATATCTTTTTGTGTTGTACTATTCACCTCCATTATAACGAAATGTTTAGTAGAAGGAATCAGAAAACGTAAACGTGAATCAAGACCAGATTATGATGGAGATCGCGAGCACGTATGATGTGTACACGACACGGGCGAAAAATATACTAATTTCGTTCGAAAACAGTGTTTTCGTTATGCGCTCTTATCTTCTCAACATTTCCACCTTCCCGATAAATCAGATCTATTGCGAAACAGAAATGCACCGAGTTGTATTAATTTTATATATTTGTGAAACATTATGAAATTAAAGATTTGCAAATCATCCCGTGATATTCGGGGAGAATGAGCCTTAATTACTTTGTGAAACGATCTTTCCCCACCGGAAAGAAATAGGTCTCGTTGTGTGATAAATAACCGAGAAAAAAAATCATGTCTATTTATGGTACAACGAGGAGAGCGATCTTACATGAATGCTTGGATTGGTAGAATTCAATGTCAAAAGAATGAAACATCCGCTTCGCATTCCCAAAATAATCTCGTAATCGTATCGACAATATAGCATTAAAATCGGACGCAGTTAACGGACGATCTTATTGAAAAAGAAACAGAAAAATATATGTATATTTGTCCTTTCGTAACAGGCATATGTTAATTCTCGTGTTCCGTCTAATTAAGTACTTCGACTGCGCAAAGTCCAATATAATTTTCAGTTAAATTTCGCGATATCGTCCGTTTAATTTCGATTGATCCTGAGGTCGGATCGTTCATTGGGTAAAATCGAGAAGAAAATTATGGAGGATGTATCGCCTGTCATACGTCGTAGGCTTTCGTTAATTCTATTGTACGCTGATTGCCTCTTCGCACGATCACTGTCAAAATTCCTACCGAGCTTCCGATATTTTTAATAAGATTTTCTGACACATCTTGCGTCAGCCGAACATCACGGGTGATTGCGTGCAGCATATTTTTTGACATATTTCATGACACCTTCCCGACTGTCTATTGACAGCTGCTCGTACGAATGTAAATACTGCATATAGTAAGCTATAAGTCTCTCTCTATGCACCGATGATCTGGCAAATATTTGAATGAAGCAGGACGTCTCATTAAGAAATTTCTATACACACAAAACGCCAGCACATTCTCTTATCGTACATACTTTGATCCCTCCTGCTGTCAAATATTTATTAACACAGAACTAAACTCGAGACGATGTTGTTCCTTTTAGTATGACTAGTCTCGAGACGTCGTAATAAAGTCCATTTTTTTGACTCAAAATTATCGCGGCCAAATCGTACGTTCGATTGTACGGAATGATCAATTTATTTCTTAACGATATTTCGTATTCGTCGTCGACGTGACCGTATCAAAGAGTTGTTCAGAATCCGAGAAAAATACGATGTATTTCTCCCTACTCACCTTGCGTTGTTGCTCGTTGGCAGCCATTTCTGATTTCACTTGACAATTCACTCAGCGGCGCATAATAAAGATAAAGCTTCGGCACTGCCTGCCCTCTCTTTTCCACAGGGTCTCTTGCCTTCTTTCTCTGGCTCTTTTACGTCCGCGAATTAACCTCTCCTTCTTACGTGCTCTACCTATTTCTATCTCCCTCTCTCTCAGTTTTAGACACCTCCGTCTACATTTATTGTGTGGTTCACGTGAAAGAAAATTCTCGCCAAAGGTCCCGATATTTTATCATGTCTCACAAGACATACGTTATTTTTAAAGACAGCACGAATCACGCTTTACTTGAGTCATAGGAGGACTCTTATTCCAGCAATTTATGTTTGCAACTAAACGTTTTATCATGCGAACGTCACGAATGTATATATGTATGTATTATATACACAAACGTCACTATTGAAACTATGTAGTCACGCGCCTGTACTCATTCCAAAACAATTAATTTGAATTAACTAATCGCTTCCCGTCCGTGTCAATCATTGAACAATTTCAACTGCCACTCAGGGATCACAGAATTCTTGTTTCACCTTGCTTAAATCCGCGTACACGATAAAAATGTAAAATACTCTAATGCCAGACTAAAGGGCCAAACGTATTTCGCATCATGTGCATCGCGTTTAGAGATTCGCGCGTGTAAACACAATATCAGTGCGTCCACCCGAGCCACGCGAAAGTTACCAAAAGAATTGAACAAATGTATCTATCTCGTTCCTTTGTATATGCAATTGTCATCGACAATTAGTCAATTTAATGTCTAAACTTTGACGAACTTCGGGCTAAATTTCATAATCAAAATGTTGCAAAAATTTTGTAAGTAATTTCTGTGATTGGATATGTATTTATTTGGAATAGAAACGAATGAGTAACGATTTCGAGTTCTGTGCGTGTGACATTCTCAAGTAGTCCACGTCTTTCCCATGAGGTATTTAGTGGTGCAAGACCCGTTTTCGAGATATTGAGTATCTTGTTCTTTCTTAGTGACCGAATTTTTCATACATCTACTGATTAAGCGTTTCCTGTTAATTCAACATGCCGAAGAATAAGGGTTCGTATATAATTCCATCTTATTACGTTTATTTTAACTTTCCTGAAAACTGCACAGGCCTTAGTGCCAGGGGGTCATGCGATTTTCGATCTGCAATGTGGTCAGTTTGTCCTAACCTATTAGTGTCAAGTTTTTCGTTGAAATCGTTATAAAGTACACCGTATTATAAGTTAAGCAGCTTCTTGTAAGATATTCTTATATCATAGCGGTGAATAATAATTTTTACGTTTATTTTTCTTTAGGAAAGGGAGGTAAAAATAGGAGAAGAGGTAAAAATGAAAATGAAACTGAGAAAAGAGAGCTGGTTTTCAAAGAAGATGGTCAAGGTAAAATTTTATGACTCATATTGGACTTCACAAAAATTTTGAACCAATAGATTTCTACAATATTGGAATC